GGGGGCAGAAACCTGAGGGCCAAGTTATGGTTTCCTCCAAATGACAAATGGGTTAGGGCTACGCAGATTTAAGCACCAGGACCCGGGACAGGGCAGACCTCTCCCAGGTACCGCCCCCACCTCCCCACCCCTCACCGAGCTCAGGGGGTAGATAGCAGGACCAGGGCATCATGTTATGTGACAAGACTCCTGGGTTCTCTCCCCAGAGTGGGGGCTGGCAGCCCGGATGCCTGGGTTCTCTCCACAGGCCTGGAAGGCTGGTGGATTAGGGCAGTGAGACTTGGGAACCTGGACACCTGGGTTCTCTCCTGGAGCTGGGAGGCCCCCTAGCTATGCGAGAGAATCCAGGCTTCCCAAGTGGATTACATGGGGGGGCACTGGAAGCCTGGATACGTGGGTTCTCTCCAGCTGTGGAAGGATAACAGGATCTGGCAGGCTGGGCACAGCACCCGACCCCACCCCAGCCACAGCTGGGAGGTTGATGGGTTAGAGAAGGGTAGGCTAATCAGATGCCTGGGTTCTCTCCCTAAGTGCTGGGAGACTGGGGGTTACGAGCAGGGGGCCCGGGAGCCTGGATGCCTGGGCTCCCTAGACAGGGAGTGGGGGCTGGAAGGGTCCCAGGGCACCTGTAGATGTGGACGTCACGAGTCTGGCCAATGCGGTGGCAGCGGTCTTGGGCCTGGGCGTCCATGGTGGGGTTCCAGTCGCTGTCGTAGAAGACCACAGTGTCGGCGCCTGTCAGGTTCACGCCCACCCCCCCGCTGCGTGTCGACAGGATGAAGCAGAAGATGCGCTTGTCTGCATTGAACCGTTCCATCAGCGCCTGCCAGAGGACCCCGCGTCAGCCTTGATGCCTGGGTTCTCAGGCTGGGCAGCGAGAGCAAGAGGAGCTGGGAAATGCCTGGGTCCCCCCAGGAGAGGAGTGGGGATGGTGGATTACATCGAGGCTGAGGGCAGGGGGAGCTGGGGACCCGGACGCCTGGGTCCTGGGCGGGGGGCCGGCACCTGTCTCTGCTCCACACGGGTGCTGCCATCCAGGCGCAGGTAGATGTGGCCGTGGTAGTTGAGAAACTGCTCCAGCACGTCCAGCATGCGCGTCATCTGCGTGAAGATGAGCACGCGGTGCGCCTCCGCCTTCAGCTGCCGCAGCAGCAGATCCAATGTCTGAAGCTTCCCTGCAGGGGGGCAGGGCCAGCATCAGAGGGTGTGGCCTCCCAGGCCTCTGGCCCAGCAACAGCTTGGCTCCACCCCTCCCCTCCTGGCCCCTCCCTCCACCTGCCAGGCTGGACATATCTCCCCATCCTTGTCCTTGTTTCCTGGCCTTTCCTGGGCAGGGGCAGGGGCAGGGGCAGGCACAGGGGGATGGGGAGGGGTGGGACTTGCTCCACCTCCTGCCTAATCAGTCCTGGTCCCTCCCCTGCCAGATAAAGCCTGCCCTCCAAACTCCTGGCTCCTCCCAATGACAAACTAGCCACAACCCCCATACCAGGCTTGCCCCTCCCACAAGCTTCCTGGTCACTCCCAGGGCAGATCAGCTCCACCCCCTACTCAATAAGTCCTGCCCCCATATGCTGGGCCCGCCCATCACCAGAGTGGCCACACCCCCACCAGTTGCGCCCCCCTCTCACCTTTTCACAAGGGCCCCAGTCCCACCTTCCTGGCCCTGCCCTCTACCAGATCAGCTCCACCCCCAAATTCCTGGGCGCCCCCCCCCCACAGGTCCACCCTGCTGGCTCCACCCATTTCATGATTGGCCACATCACCATCCAGGCCTGGCCCCTCCCCTTCACAGGTCACACTTCCGTCTTCCTGAGACCGGCCCCACCTCCACACCCCAATCCCCCAGTAGCCCCGCCCACATACCACAGTCGTACTGGATGAGGCGCAGGTCAGGGAACTGAGTGCGCATGTTGCAGACGACACGGTGCAGGGCCCGGGCTCGCGGTGACAGCTCTCGGCGCAGGGCAGCCGCCAGGGCCTGGTGCCGTAGGCGCAGTGTGGGGGGTGGGTCTGATGTGTGCAGGGCCACAGGTGGAACCTCCACAGGTGGCAGCACGAAGATGAACCTGCCGGGGTGCAGGGGGAGAGGAGGGCATTAGGGCAGGCAGCCACCCAGGGGCGAGAGCAGGGGGGGCAAGACCATGGATGCCTGGGTTCTCTCCCAGTTCTGGGAGGACAACAAGATGTGGTGTTAGAGGTCTGGACACCTGGGGTCTTGTGGGAGGGGGAGGTGAGGGGTGGGGAATGCCTGGGTTCTCTGGGAGTAGGGAGGGCTGAGAGTTGGGAACTGGAGATGGAGGGAACCTGGATGCCTGGGTTCTCTCCCACTTCTGAGAGGGTAGTGTGGTGTTGTCTGGAGCCCAGACACCTGAGTTCTCTGCGGGGGAGGGATGGAGGGAGATGAAGACTGGGAATCCAGATGCCTGGGTTCACTGGGAGGGAAGGGTGGGATGGGGTGGAAGCCTGGACACCTGGGTTCTCTGGCCGGGGAGTTGGGGCTGAGAGCCCGGACACCTGAGTTCTCCATCTAGGGGGATAAGAGGAATGAAAGCCTGATGCCTGGGTTCTCTACCAGCTCTCAGAAAGAAGTGGGATCTCCCGGTATAGTGTAGGTGGGTACCAGAAGCTCGGACACCTGGGTTCTGTGGGACAGGACCAGGGGCTGGAGAATGAAAGCAGGGGAGCTGGGAGCCCAGGTGTCTGGGTTCTCTGACAGGGGCCCTCACCGTTCGATGATGTCCTCAAGTTGCTCGATCCTCTGCTGGGGTGTGAGGATGGCGCGGCTGAGGGCAGGCGCCTGCTGCCAGTACTCTGCCAGGCGCTGTGGGTCCCGCTGCATTTGGGCCATGTAGCAGTGGGCGTAGCCGGCCCCCCGCCACCCGCCTCCGGGGGCCTTGGGCTCTGCCTCAGCCTCGGGGTCGTGGGGTGTTGGGGGGAAGAGACTACAGAGGCGAAGCACCTCAGTGCCATACACGGGTGCCAGGGCACAGTGCTGCTCGTTGAGGCGGAAGAGCCGGGCCAGGCGCTCCTCCTTCTGCCGCTTGCGATTCTCTTCCAGTGACTCCTGTGGAGGGGAGGGGAACCAGACAGGGGCATCAGCACGAAATCCAGGTGTCCAAGCTCCCAGCACCCCACTCTCACCCCCTATATCCCACACCCCTCCTAGGGATCCAGGGTGTCTGGGCTCCCAGGACCTCTGCTTGCACTCCCAGAGAACCCAGGTGTCCAGGCTCCCAGCCTGCCCCACCCCCCACCGGAGAACCCAAAAAGTTCAGGCTCTTAACACCCCTCTCCTCCACCCCACCAGCCCCAATCATCTCCCAAAGAACCCAAGTGTCCAGGCTTCCCCTCCCCACTAAAAGCTCTCACCAGGTAGAATGGCGAGCGAGGCGGAGGCGGGGGTTGGCGACGGGGCCGGGGGACTGGAGCAGACGGAGGCGGCGGTGTGGGGGGGCTGGAGCGCAGCGTCAGCATCTCGGGCTCCTCCTTGGATAAAGGGCTGGGCGATGCCGGGAGCAGGGGGCGGGGGGCTGGCAGGGGGGTTGGTGCGGCTGGGGGAGGGCCCGCGGGGGCCGGCTGGCAGAGGCCCCGCTGGAGCAGGGGACATTGTGGGGACTGGCATCGGAGCTATGGGGAGAAGCACAGAGCCATGAATGTTCACTTACTGGTGGCACGTTTCCCCCTGTATAACATGCACCCCCAAAGCACCTAGAGATCATTAAGCGTGTGTGTTTTATCTCAGAAATACAGCTGTCCTTTGGTTCTGGGAGCCAGGGCAATTCACACAACCACTGTGACATCCCCAAATACCCAGACCCATGGGGATCCCCCACCACACTTCTTGGCTGATATGTTCCTGTGGACAAGGTCTCTCTGCAGGCCCTCCTCGCTACTCTGATTCCCCACGCTTCCTCAGGGTAAGGTCCTGTTTCCTTTCCAATAGCAAAGAATAATGCATTCAAAAGGAACAAGTAATTATGGTAAGAAGCAGGCTGGGATGTGGGGGGGATGACCCTAATGGAGGGCTCCATGTAAGGGACACCAGGCCCTGGCAGCCCTTTGGGGGCAGGGGGGTGGACAGTCAGGGGGACATATGGGGCCCAGAACCTGCTAGTGGGGAGCGGGGGGGGGGTGTCCATAGGGACATAAGACCTGATGCCCCCTAGTGCAGAGTCATAGGGACATATGGGGCCAGGGTGAGAGAGACCAGGCCCTGGTGCCTCTTGCGGGGGGGAGGATATCACAAGTACACAGGGGGCCTGGCACCCCCGAGTGGGGGGTTACGTACGGGGACCAACATGCCCCGCTATAAGAAACACGAAGTCCCGGGCAAGAAACCCCACATAAAAAAGCCCTGATGTCCCCCAGTGGAGTACTGGATACATACCAAGCATGGCACTTACCTGGCAGGTCCATTGCAGGGGCGGGCACCACCCGCATGACAGGGCGCACCAGAGCCTGGAGAGGGGCGGGGCCTCGCATGGGCACCAGGGGTGGGGCAGGCAGGCGGGAGGGCGGGGCGGGTGCCACAGGCAGCGGCGCTCGCGGGGCCACCAGAGCGGCAGGCAGGCCAGGCAGGGGTGCAGCAGCAGCAGTGGCTGTGGCGGGTACGGGAGGTGGGGGGGGTGGCGGCGTTCACCATGGAGGAGGGCACTGCAGTGGGGGGAACCAGGAGAGCAGAGTTAGGAAAGCCTCCCAAGCCCCACTGTCATAGCCAGACACTGAACCCAGATGTCTGGGCTCTCAGCCCCAACCCCACACTCGTCCACTAGTCCCCAAACCCTCCCAGAGAAACCAAGTGTGAAGGCACTCACCTTGAGTGGCGGCAATGGGGACACTGATAGCAGCAGAGGTGGCAGGAGGGGCGGAAAGTGATAGCAGCAGAGGTGGCAGGAGGGGCAGGGGCTGGGGCAGGCAGGATGGCAGTGGGTGGGTGCCCAGGCATGGCCTGCCCACCTGGCTGGGCCATGGCCTGAAGGACAGCCACCTGGGCCGGCTGGCTGATGAGGTGGTGCTGGCCCCCGGCCGACACCAGGTGGACCACGTTCCCTGCAGGAGACAGGGAGCTCAAACCTGAGAACCAGAACGGGATGAGAACCCAGGTGTCCGGGCTCCCAGCTCCTGCTGTCACCCACTTATCCCACACCATTCCCAGAGAACCCAGGTGCCCGGGCTCTCCACCCTGGCCCCTTGCTCTCACCCACCCACACCAGTCCCAAACAACCTAAGTGTCCAAGTTCCCAAACCCTTGCCTGCTCTAACCCACCAACTCCTTGCTCCCCTCCCAAAATTGGGCAAGGACCCAGGTGTCCAGGTTGTGAGCCCCCCACCCCCACGTGGGCTCTGCCAGGCCCTGACCAAAGGCAGATGGCAGCTGGGATGACCTCCACAAGCCACTGTAGCCCTGTCTGGCCTGGAGAGGAGTGGGGACAACCCCTGCAGCGCGATGCGCCCGCCTCTGGGGTAGGGCCGAGGGCAAGGGCTGGGCGGGCAGGAGTTTTACCTACTTGGGAGCTGGCGGGGCTGGGCCACAGCCACCTGGCGCACCTGGGTGCCTGTCAGTGTCAGCTTGTTGCCCTGCAGCTGGAAAGTAAGGGGCTTGCTGCCCGGTGCACTCTGCAGGGGTCGGCTGGCCAGCGAAGCCAGCTGTGCGATGCTTACTACCTCACCGGCTGTGGGCACAATGGTGGAGGGGAGGGGGGCAGTCAGTCTGGGAAGGAACCCAGGCATCCAGGCTCCTGGCACCTTCCCATAGCTCCCTGATGGAACCCAGGCATCCTGGTTCCCAGCCCACTTCCCTGGACTCCCAGTCCCACCATGCAGGGCAGAACCTAAGCTGCCTGTCCCTTCTGCTACTAAGCCCTCTAATCAGTCAGGGCAGAACCCAGGCGCCCAGATGAGGCTCTCCCTGCTCCAAGCTGCAAGGCAAGAAGGAATCTAAGCATTTGGGCCCCCAGCTCCTCCACAGGCAAAAAGGAACCCAGGTATTCTAGCCCCTACCTCTCTCCATCCCGCTGACCCCTCCAAGAATCAGGCCAGAACCCAAGTATCCAAGTCCCTAACATCCCCCAGACGTCCCCACAGTGAGGCAAGAACCAAGGCATCCAGGCCCACAACCCCCCTTGGGTCAAGCCAGAGCCCAGGTGCCTGGCCCCCCAAAATTAGGCATAGCCCCCCCACTCGAGTCAGGTCAGAATCCAGGTCAGGTGGGAACTCAGGTGCCCGGGCAGGGTGGGGTACTCACAGGGCAGACGGGCCTGCATGTCAGGGGAGAGCAGGAGACGCGGCGGCTGCACAGGTCCGGTGGTGGCCAGGCTGTAGGCAGGCAGCGCACTGGCACTGGACTGCACAGTCATGGGCTTCATGATGCCGCTGGGCCCCAGGGGGGCACCCGCCAGCCGAACCCCAGGAGCAGGGGCTGGGCCCGGCTTCAGGACAGGACCAGGCATGGGCGTGGGTGCCATAGGCGGCCGAGGTGCCGTAGGTGCCAGCTGGGTGGCCACAGGCATCGGTGTGGGAAGCACTGTGGGGACAAGGACACATGAGCACTCCTTGTTCCACTCAGCTGTTCCCACCCCTGAGCTAGCTGCATCCGGTCACCACTGGGAGAAAGATGGACTGACAAGCCCCACCCCCCAGAACAGTCACACCCCTTCCACTGATTGGCAGAAGCCCTATGTGGTAGTGGGGGGAGGAAAAGGAAGAACCCACAGGTCATTCCCCCAACCTGATCTGAGCTCCACTAATCAGGGATGGAGGCAAGGAACCTGGAAGTCCCACCCCCAATCTAGACCACACCCTCAAAGCATAGACCCACCCCTTTAAGGGTCTGGCCAGGCCTCTGGGGGATGGATCCCAAGGAAGAAAGGGGTTGGGGAACCCACAGGCCACACCCCTG